TAGCCTACCAAATAATACACTGAGCTTAAAACTACAGAATCCACCAATAGTGGCTAACTGCTGAACATAACCAGTTCAATCCTGCCCCCCTGTGGTCTGTTATCACTGAGATAAACCAAGAAAGCCATTATTAAGCACTAAAAAAAATTATTTGTTTACATTTACATTTAGTCATTTAGCAGATGCTTTTATCCAAAGTGGCTTACAAATGAGGACAATGGAAGCAATTTAAATCAACAAAAGAGCAATAATATGCAAGTGCTATAAGTCTCGGTTAGCTTACAGTACACGTAGCAAGGTAGTGTTTATTGGAGGTTATAAAGAATAAAAGATTCTGCACCAAATCTGACTTTTGGGTTGAATAATTTTGAACATTAATGTTTAGAACCAGTTAGATTTTTTTTCATTATTCATTCATAATGTTGTTATTGGCAGTAAAATGTCTTGCAGGTCAAGGGGGTTGAATAATTTTGATTGCAACTGTGTGTGTGTGTGTGTATATATATATATATATATATATACTTTTATATACTTTACACTTTACATTTGAGCCCCTGTCCTGAGAAACTCTCTGCACATCCCTGTATACATTGGATTGATTTTAATACCTTTATAACTAATGATTTTGAAGTATGCGCAAACAGTAAGAAACACTCCGGTTACAAACATAACCTCAATTTCCTGAGATAACGGGAAGGAGTATCCCATTGACATGCATTGGGGAAACTCCTGTTTACTCCAAATACTGAAGCCTCATTTGTTAACGTTTGTGTAGCTTTGCATTTCAGCCCGCCAAAACAGGTGGAACCAACTGCCTATATAAGTTGAATGCCTTTCATCAGAATCTTTTGACTGATAAGTGACAGCGTGCAGCTTAAAGGGATAGTTCACCCAAAAATTAAAATTTGTTAGTGTTTTACTCACCCTCGAGGCATCCTAAATAAAATGTCCCTCACACGGCTCCGGGGGGTGAATTAAAGGCCTCCTGTAGCGAATCCATGCATTTTTGTGAGATAAATATCCATATTTCAAACGTAATAAACACTTTTCTCTCATATGTATGTCATAGGTATTCTGTCATACTCGGAAGCCGTTCCGGCGGATGACGTAAGACGTCTGCGTTGCGTGATTAGTGACGAACAAAACAAAACGCCGGTCACAAATTCGAAGCACAAAATGAGGATTTGTAAAGAAAAATGTCTGAGGATTTGGATATAAGCAAAGAGGAGACTGGATTCGCTACAGGAGGCCTTCATTCACCCCCCGGAGCCGTCTGAGGGACGTTTTTATTACAGATGCGCGCACTTTATTTCACGTCTTCTGGACTGTTGACAACAAGCACCCGCTTACCCCCATTGTAAGGCTTGGAGGGGCCAGGACAATTTTAAATATAACTCCGATTGGATTCGTCTGAAAGAAGAAAGTCATATACACCTAGGATGCCTCGAGGGTGAGTAAAACAGGCTAATTTTCATTTTTGGGTGAACTAACCCTTTAAATAGCATGGCTGTGTATGCAATGCTCGTTATCTCAGGGAACCAAGGTTACATTAGTAACTGGAGCGTTCCCTTTCGAAACGGTCTCTCACATTGCATGAACACGCTTTGGGCAACAAGTCCAATAGTGCTGTGTTATATACGAAGTTCTGGCATGAAACTCTAGATGGTGCAGTCCCAGTACTCAGTATGACATCAATGACATCACCATCACGTCACAGCTGATTGGTTCTCTCCTGTATCGTAGCCAATGAGCTTGCTGCACAACATTCAAATATATGGGTGGTTCTATAATTGGAGATACATTTGAACAGAAAGTTAAGAAAAAAAGCTTTTCACTAACAGATTTTTTTTCAGTATCTAATTGAAAACATGTTTAATTTAATAATTCAGTGCTTGCCAAACACAAGTTACTTCCTTTTTTTACTTTTAATGAAAAAACAGATGGCTTTATGGTATTGTTTGTCAACTCTGTTACAGACAAATTAGCCAATGTGTAGAAATAACAATAAATCATAAGAGGAAAAATCCTTCTTGTTTCATTAGACAAACAGTCCTTACATTCCATCACTTGAAACTGAGATAATATTTCACCTATGCATACCTTTAAAATGAAAGCAAATTAAAATTTGCTTGGAGCAAATATTTTTCATCTGAAAATGTATTATATACAATATCCAGTTAAAAAAAGAAATGTTGTTGAAATATTATTAAATATTTAAAAATAAATCAATAATGTTTATTAGGATTTTAAACAACAAATTTATTGTCTTTTGTGAAAATAGTTCATAAACAGGGCTGACCCTTTAAGTAACAGAATTGTAAAATAACAGAATTGACAGAATTGTCCGATGGACTGTCAATTCTGTTACTGCATTGTCAGCATTGTTACTCTTCCTTGGTAACAGAGTTTGACAGTAAATTGACCATTTTCTTTATTTTTTGCCAAAAACTCCACTTGCTAGCATAAATGCTAAGAGCACATGGCACTAATGAAATCATGATTAAAAGACTTTTAAATAACACAAAGTGTGATCAATGAAAAAAATCTGTTTTCCTTTTGATATTGTGGTAACAGATTTGACATTTTATAAAATAACTCTTGGTGTAAGAACTTTTTAGTTTAACATATTTTCTTAGAGAGAGCACACAGACTTGTCAGTGCTTCAGATCTTAACAGTGAGGGAAAGTGACATCATTTCCTGTATCTTACATATTGTGGGAGATAATTCCACTAATTTAAAGGCAAAGTATGGTACGGTAACAGAGTTGACGCAAGATTTACGGGGACACATTTTTATAAGAAAAAAGTTATTTAAAAAAAATTATAATGTTGTAGAATTAGGTAAATGATGTAAATGATGTAAATTTCCCTCACTTCCTATTACTTGTTTCGCTTCTGTTTCAGTTTTTATAACCGTTTCTTACTATGTGTAAGTTTATGTTTTTTAGCATGTGTGTTTGGCAGTGTTATTTTTTAGGATTACTGATAAACTACTGTAGTTTGATTTGTATTATTTGTATTTGCTATTTTAATTTTAGTTAAATTATGTCTGAATTTATTGTCTGTATAGCTATTTTATTAAGTTTTTAGTTTTATTTAATTTGAGTTATTTTAATACTTCAACAAACTAAATGGAAATGAAATAATATATATACTGTATATTGAATTTGTAAATGTGTATGTGTATATATATATATGTGTGTGTATGTATGTGTGTGTGGTTGTACATATGTAGATTTTTTTTGGTGTTTGGCTTAGTGTTATGTTAGAATCATTATTATACTCTTATACCTTTTGTTCTTTAATATTTTGAATTGTTTTAAGCTTTATTTTTTGTTTTTCATTTAAATGTTAAGTTTTGAAATGTTGTATGCATTTGTCATTTTTATTTAATCTCTATTTTTTTAAATATGTATAGGTAGTATTTTTAAGTTTTAGCTTTTAGTTTTGGATCTGTTTTTAGTTGTTTTAATACTAAATTGATTGCTTCTGTTGTCCTCATTTGTAAGTCGCTTTGGATAAAAGTGTCTGATAAATGACTAAATAAATATATGACTCTTTAGTGCTTTTATAAATAAAATGAATGAAATATTACAAAAAGAAAAGTACAATAAAATATTTTGATTACACAATGATACATGATGGAAAAAATGCACTGACTAATTCGGACAACAAGAAATCATGACTTTCAGCTATTTAAGACACTTTTTGCAAAAAATATTATATTGTTATGGACTGTAACCTCTTGTAATTCATAACAATGACTAACACTGTATTAAAATAATAAAAAATATAACCATTTGAAAAAAGCAGAAAAAAAGACTTCTGACACCAAATGTACATGCAAATATAGAATCACTCATATGACTAGTGCTTGCCGTAGCAGTTGCAGCTTGCTTCAGAAACCCTCCACCTTCCCCAGCTCCACCTGTATAGATCTGCTACGAGGTGATTCATGTATGCTATGGGGGTTATTCATGTTATATGTGCAGCAGCAGTATTTCTTACATGCTCACAGCAGCATGTTGTGAATGTATTGGCAGTAGCAAGTCTCGGTACTTGCGCTGCCGCAGCAGCAGCTTCGTACCAGATCTATTCTGCCAAGACCAAATACATTAGCATTTTCATGTATATTACAAGGTGTGGCACTGTGCCATCACTGTATCCCAAAAATACAAAATATGTTTCTGATTACCATTTCAACCATTAAAAAAAAAAAAAAAACAAGCTCTAAACACACCTGAACCAGCTATAATCAAGGTCTTCAGAATCACTGGAAATCTCCAGGCATGTGTTGGAACTAAACTCTGCAGGAAAGTGGTTTTCCAAGAACAGGATTCCCAGATCTTTTTTCCAATCTTCAAATTTTGTACATAGTAAGTACCAGCAAAAAAAGCTATCAAAAGAATTGGATATGTTGAAGAGTTGCAAAGCTATTAGCAAATTAAACTTTCTGGTGTTGTTCTTTTTTTACGACTTGACATATAACACCCGTTATGCAAAAAGTAACATCCAAATTTACTGAAACTTGAGATAGATCTCAGAACACGTCAAAAGTCCCCCCCAAAAAAACTGTACCTACAGGGGGCGCTACAAGTGAAATTAAGTCAAGTCAAGTCAAGTCACCTTTATTTATATAGCGCTTTTAACAATACAGATTGTGACAAAGCAACTGAACAGCATTAATTAGGAAAATAGTGTCAATAATGCAAAATGACAATAGTAAACACTCATTTTTCAGTTAAAGACAGTTCATCATTCAATTCAGTGATGTCAACATCCAGCTCAGTTCAGTTTAAATAATATCTTTGCAATCAAGTCAACGATATCGCTGGAAATGAAGTGTCCCCAACTAAGCAAGCCAGAGGCGACAGCGGCAAGGAACCAAAACTCCATCAGTGACAGAATGGAGAAAAAACCTTGGGAGAAACCAGGCTCAGGCGGGGGGCCAGTTCTCCTCTGACCAGACAAACCAGCAGTTAAATTTCAGGCTGGCCAAAAAAGCTCAGATTAGCAGCTCGTTCCACATTCTTCCATTTCTTAGTTGGCGCTTTTTGCTTTTTCTTCTCTCCGAATTAGAAAGGATGCCAAACTGTGCTCTGTGTACTTCTTTTCTCGTTTGTTTGTGGGTACATCCCTTCATAATCTACCCTTAGCAACACACAGCATTCATACGGGCCACAAGATATACCTCACTTCCTCTTCTCTGAAAGTATTAAAAGACCAACAAGGAACAATCACAAAACCAGTGAACGCGTCACTTATTGCACAGGCAGATTCATAAATCTAGAAACGAATTCAAGGTGCCTCTGCGCGCACACAAACCGCGTAATCGTACAAACTCTCGTAAGCATCTACAACGAAACCCCTCCAGTTTGTTTCAGCGAGTCGTGTGCGTTAGCATGAGCAGAGGCGCTTTACAGTACAATGACTTGTTAAGTATCTTCTACTTCTTAAGAACAAAGTATTCTTAAGTAACCCCCCCACCTCCATGTTTAACCAGCAGTGATTTGAAAGTCATGGGGAGAAGTGTCAGAAAAGGGGCACTGAGTAACAGCAGTTCCCCACTGGCTAAACGGGCCGCAGGAAGGAGGCTCTGGAGATGGATGGGGCCCGCAGTTATGGGGTTGGTGGGTGCTCAGGGGTGGACCTTGAAGGCCAAGAGCTGCTCAGAGTGCATGTTGTTGAGCGAGCGCAGGTCCGGCAGCTTGAGGAGCAGTTTAGTGAAGATGGTGATCTCGTTGGGGTGGTTCTTGGTGATCAAGCTGCGCAGCGCTCGAATCAGAGTTTCCTGAAGGGCCTCGACCGAGTTGATGTTCTCGAGCCCGGAGCGATCTATGGGGAACACAATTCATTTAACACAATAAGTCAAATCATCCTCTCAGATTAGGGCTGGGCGAGATGGCAAAAAATTGACCGTTGGCCGATTTTTTCCTGTTACCACTGGCATAGTTCAAGTGTCTAATTCTAACATTTGGTAAATTTCTATTCAAAATTAAAATCCTGGCAAAACATTAAATTCAAATTAATGAAGAAAAATCTGAAAAATGGCCCAGCCCTATCTCAGATACAAAACTACAGTCTCATCATGGTATGGCAGTTAATACCTGCAGACACCAGCACTACGGCCGTGAAGAGGCTCATCTCCTCCTTACTGAGGTTGAGCGCTTGCAGCTTCTCGGTGAAGTCAAACATTGAGTTGAGGAGATCTCCAGCACCCATCGAGCGCAGCGCCTCCACGCTGTACTTCCTGCCGCTCAGAAATGTGACTGTGCGCTCCTTCACATTGAACAGGGATGTAAAGCGCACCACCAGCACCTACAGGCCAAGCAAGAAACCAATCGAACTGAATTCTATTCGGTCAATTCACAGGACTCTGAATGATTTTAGTCAGTTTCATTCAGTGTAGGGCCAGAAATTAACTTTTCCATTAAGGGGCAATATTTGCCCGCTGGAATTGATTTTAAGGGGCATTTTTTTTACATTCATGAGGGCAGTTTTTAAATTCACCCTATTATTATTATAATCGACATGTTGTCTATAATGTCAAATACTTAAATTTATCCCAATTACTTTAATCAATATTTTAAACGTTTGTCAATAACGATAGGCTACAATTTAAAAAAATCTAAATTATACACGTAAAAAGCAGGAGCTCATAGGGCTGCGATATGACAAAAATCACTATTGTAGATTATTGCTCTTTATATTGTAATAATGATTGTTAATATCGATACAGAAAACAATATAAAACAGTTTTTGTTTCGTATCTGAGTTTTGGGCATGCCACATTCTGGCTTCACAGACACACATGTCGGCCCGTGACATTAGTCTAGTCTAGCACAAGTTATGCAAAAACTCCCGTTATAGTCACTGAATCTACGAAATTAATCTTTGGATATTTATGTATCTGCACTGTGTTGTTTATGATGAGGGAATTCGCGAGCATGCGCACAACACAGCTCCGGCGTTGCCGTCTAAGAGCCTCTGATTGGCCAAAGCATTCCTAAGTCCAACAGAGTGTGGTTGGTTATAAGGCTCGACGCTGCACAAAACCGCACGTAAAAGCAATCTGATGCAGTGTGAGTGGATCTAAATAGAATTCTGCGAATTTACACTTTTTATTCATGTTCACATTTCATTTTAATTTACTGTGTTGTTTATGATGAGGGAATTCGCGAGCATGCGCACAACACAGCTCCGGCGTTGCCGTCTAAGAGCCTCTGATTGGCCAAAGCATTCCTAAGTCCAACAGAAACGCGTGTGGTTGGTTATAAGGCTCGACGCTGCACAAAACCGCACGTAAAAGCAATCTGATGCAGTGTGAGTGGATCTAAATAGAATTCTGCGAATTTACACTTTTTATTCATGTTCACATTTCATTTTAATTGCAACAGCCGTAATACATTGTTTAATAGTGCAGGGGCATTTTTTGCCCCTTCGTCTTGAATTTATGGGGCATTTTTGTTCATGCTGGTGGCATTTTTGCCACAAGCCCTCTTTAAAGTCCGACCCTGGTGTGGAGACTGTGTTGTATTTTCTTCATACCTCAAAGGTGCCGGCCTTCAGCAGGCTGACCTGGTCGTGCTGGGACAGCTCTTTGAATCCTGGGATGCGCTTTGCAAATTCCACCACCTCTCTGACGGCTGGCGTGAAGCTCATGGAGAACTCCTCCCAAATACTGTGACCCGACTTCTGAGGATCCACATAGGGCGATGTGTTCATGGGGCAAACCTGTGAATGAGAATCATGAGTACTTGTATAGACTCCCACTGACATTTCGGTATGGGTTCTCTGTGTAACTTACCAGGTGCATCCTGTTAACCCTTGCAAATGTTGGGACACTACAGCTGCCATTGAAACGTGTTTCATTGTCATTATGAGCTCTCAGAGAGAGGTTCTGCAGAGACGGACCAGCGGAGCTGCTGTTGGGCAGTCTGACAGGACAGACCGAGTCTTCAGGCCCCTGTGGAGCACAGCCTGATGGGGGCGTTTGTTCACTCTCTGAGGATGCATTGCTCTGCTGCTTCCAGACCTCCTGAGTCTTCTCTGAGCAATGGCTGTAGTTGTTAGGGGCCGCTGAAGGCACGCTGGCCTGCTCCTGATTGTACATGAAGGTCTCCTGATGCGCTCTAGTCACTGTGCTGATGACCTCCTCCTCCCCGCTGTCAGTGGCGCTGGAGGAGTCTGAGCTGGTGCTTGTATCCATGGCGCTCAGCAGCTCGGGGTCGGGGCTGGATTCGGACCGATGGCTCCGGGGGGAGGTGGAGGGGGAGCGGGAGGAAGGGCCGCTGTGCTCTGAAGCTGCATCGCTGGCTGATGGCTGGGTGCTCAGCGGCTGGCTGCCGTGGCTGTTGTTCATCATGTTGTTCATGGCATTCTGCATCTCGAGCAGCATGCGCTGCTTCTCTCGTTTGGGAATCCGGCCGAAACGCACAGCTGAGGAGCACAGACACGGTCAGCTCACAGGCTCCAACAGACTGACACTTCTGCTGAGATCTGTTTGTCTGTCTGTCTATCGACTGTCTGTCTCTCTGTCTCTCTTCTGTCTGTCTGCCTATCTATCTTCTGTCTGTCTATCATCTGTCTGTCTATCTTCTGTCTGTCTATCGTCTGTCTGTCTCTCTTCTGTCTGTCTATCTATCTATCTATCTTCTGTCTGTCTGTCTATATTCTCTCTATCTATCTTCTGTCTGTCTGTCTATATTCTGTCTGTCTGTCTATCTATCTTCTCTCTGTCTGTCTGTCTATCTATCTTCTGTCTGTATCATCTGTCTCTCTTCTGTCTGTCTGTCTATATTCTCTCTATCTATATTCTGTCTGTCTGTCTATCTATATTCTGTCTGTCTATATTCTGTATGTCTATCTATATTCTGTCTATCTAGATTCTGTCTGTCTATCTATCGCCTGTCTGTCTGTCTGTCTATCTATCGCCTGTCTGTCTATCTATATTCTGTCTGTCTGGCTGTCGTCTATCTATCTATCTATCTATCTATCTATCTATCTATCTATCTATCTATCTATCTATCATCTTATACATGTATCTGGCTCAAATGTTCATGCAAGATAACAAGCTTTATTTATTATTTTTGGGATCTGGGACACAACGCCAGCTGGAGCTCTGCGATCTTCTGTTTGTCTGTCTATCGTCTGTCTGTCTGTCTGTCGTCTGTCTGTCTATCCATCTTCTGTCTGTCTGTCTGTCGTCTGTCATCTATCTGTCTGTCGTCTGTCTGTCTATCGTCTGTCTGTCTGTCTGTCTATCCATCTTCTGTCCGTCTATCGTCTATCTATCTATCTATCATCTTATACATGTATCTGGCTCAAATGTTCATGCAAGATAACAGGCTTTATTTATTATTTTTTGGATCTGGGACACAATGCCAGCTGGAGCTCACCGTCTCTGGACATGCCCACGAGCAGACACTTCTTAAAGCGGCACTGCTGGCATCGGTTCCTGTTGATGCGCGTGATGGAACAGCTTTCGTTCTTAAGGCACTTCTTATACTGAATGTTCTGCTGAATGCTCCTCCTGAAGAAACCCTGCAGGTGCAAAAGTGAAAGAGACAGAGAGCGGTGTCAGGGTCACAGAGCCCACACCGAGAGTAACAGGTGTCGAGCCTCGGGTCGGTATGGAGAGCAGGTGTCAAGGACTCAAGACACCCTTCTGTCATGGAGCTTTGCTCTGATAGTTAAACAGGCTGCTGGCTAGGAGGCTTTTTAGTTATAAATAAAGCAAAGTGACATGTCCCTTCAGGACGATGTACAGGTAGATGTGACCCAGATGTGGCATGACAGCCACTGGCCCCATCTAATTCAACAACAGTGACACCAGTGACAGTTTAACACAGAAACAGACACTATAAAAGTGCAATACGACCTTCACTGGGAAGTAAAGAAACCCCGAGCATACATGAGAGTGAAAAATACAAACTTTCAGACCACTTTCTGAGCTTTTGACTTACTTCTCTGTACGTCAGAAATAACAAAATGAAACCTCTAATTCTTATAACAAAATACTGAAATGTGGCTGCCGGCTCACACTAACACTTGACGTTTTCTCACCTTGCATCCCTCACAAGCGTGAACGCCATAGTGAAATCCTGACGCAACATCTCCACACACTTTACATAGCAGCACCAGCCCGTTAATCTCTGCAGGAGCGGAAATACAGAGGGTCAGATGAACAAGCTCTGCGCTCAGTTCGGCTTTCTCCTCAGCTGCCTTCTGTTTCCTCAAGCAGCTAGAAAACCATTACTACATGATCAAGCACACATGGACAAATATCTTGCAGTGTTAACAAAAACTTCGGCTCATTACTATCAACATCATCACATTATTTTTATTATTCTGACCAATCTACAATCTGTTCCATTTTGAACTCCCTGACATATCAAACTGCATTATTTCTATTAAAAAAAACAATAGGGGATGTGAATACATGTACATCAGGGTAAACATGAGAAAGCATATTTTATATACTACTTTTTTAAATTTCTTTTTATAATTCTCTTCTGCTCAACGAGCCTGCATTTATTTATTTGATGAAGTACAGCAAAAGCAGTAACATTTAGAAATATTTTTACTATTCAAAATAACTGTTTTCTATTTGAATATATTTTAAAATGTCCTGTATTTTGGATCAAATAAATGCAAGCTTGGTGAGCAGAATAGAATTCTTTAAAAAAACATTAGAAATATTACTGTTAAAAACTGGTAGTGTACATACTAATACAAATTATACGACATACTAATTATATACTAATTTACATTATGACAACATATATGTGAAAACGAGTAATATGTATTCAAATAGTTCCATAAGATGTGTCGTATGTGTAGGTGATCAGTCGCAGAATGAAACACTCCACAGATGTCTTTATTTTGACTCAGATCAGTCTCTCACTTGTAATGCCACTTTTGGCTGCGGAGGGCGACCGTGTCTTCCGTGGGCGGGACTGAGGGGCCACAGCGAGGGTCTCGCCCTGCTGGCCCTGCCCTGCGTGGGGCGGAGAGCAGAACTGATAGCTGCTGTTGGAGGAGTCGCTGTGGCACGACTCGGGACTGGAGGCCGAGCTCGCGGAGCTAATGTAAGCTATCACTCCACCTGCTGGATGACACACAGAAGAGCAACTCATTATTTTCCAAATCAGGTGGATCCTAATATGCAGATATAAATTCTAAAGCATATGAGAATGAGACATGGTTGATTCCAGCTTTTTCATGCATCTGCTGACAATTGTGTTTATCATTGATAATAGAAAACAAATATATAAACAGTAAATGCAGTCCATATAGGTGGATATTTACTGATGAAATTACAAAGGTTTTCTTTGCCCCCGTGTCTTATTTCAAGCAGCAGCCGGTCTTATTGTCAGAAAGTGGACCAGGCTGTATGTGCTCTGTCTGTACGGGTTGACCTGATTTCTGCTGCCCTACTCCCAATGGTTAGGTAACACCGTTACATAATACCTCTTTCAGGGTGTAGCCCTTACCAGCAAACAATACGACTCTAATGTAATACTGAGAACTAACAAACAGCTTTTTTTCGAACAATATGCCATATATATATATATATATATATATATATATATATATATAGGATCTTACCAGGCTTTGTGAGGTCCATGTCCTCCGACAGCTCGGCGGTGTTTGTGCCGCGCAGCAGCTCTCGAGTCGCTGTGGCTCCGAGTATAACACTCGCTACCCGAGGAGCATTTCTAACTAAACCTAGCGGATAATCTCAAACAACCAGCGCCGAGGAGAAAGAAGAAGCAAAACTCAGAACCTCAGGTGTCTTATTAAAATAGTAGTAAATGCAGTAGAATAAGACCGCAGCGGCTACACAGGCTCGACCGGAGGGGCCCCGCGTCTAGTAAAGGTCTGCGAGAGCTCAGTGTGGGCGGATCTGCAGATCACGTGACCGGCTCCGGCTCCGCCCCCAGCGGCATTATAATGACTGTAACCCACTGACACACTTCCTCTGCTGCTGCGGGGCCTCAGCCGGTGACCCCACACACGGTTCCGTGCTCCGTAGCCTATTTAAAGGGGTCATATGATGATGCTAAAAAAGAACATTATTTTGTGTATTTGGTGTAATGAAATGTCTTCATGCGGTTTAAAGTTCAAAAATTCACTTTCATTATTGTTTCTCTATGCCCTGCCTTTCTGAAATGCGTCGATTTTTACAAAGC